TTAGTGACTTTATACTGTTGAATGATTTCGCCCCTTTTTCAGCGCTCTTCTAGAGTGGTAAGATTGAGTATGGCCAGTCTTTTTTCATAGCTTTTGTGTTTTATCTCGCTTATCACCTTTGTTACTCGCTGTTGAATGCATTCAAGTGTTTTTATATCACTTTTTAGGTGAGGAGACCAGGCTTGAATGGCATACTCGAGATGAGGTCTAATGTATGTTGTGTAGAGTACCCTCCATAACATTAGCCCTCTTGTGCGAAAAGATTTTTTTAGTTTGCCAAGTACTTGGTTTGCTCTAGCTGCTGCAGCTTCTACTTGATGCTTAACTTTGAGGTTGTTTGATGTTAGAACATCTAAGTCACATTCAATAATTGTTGTTCCAAGTTCTATTCGATTACCATATATGTCAAGCATTGAGTAAAGGCGTACTGAATTATTTGAGTGAGCAACATAAATGACTTTACATTTGTCTAGATTGAAATACATGAGCCACTTTTTAGACCATTCGACTGCATGATCTTTATATAATGCATCATGTTGTCTAGAAGGTTGTTTATATAAATCAGAAACAAAAGTGGACCTAACACTGAACCTTGTGGAACACCACTAGTAACATCTACCCATTCAGATTGCTATTGCTGATGACCACTCTCTGTTTTCGATTTTTTAACCAGTCAGTTATCCAATCCAGAAGTGTTCCATGTATGCTGTATGCATCAAGTTTTAATAGAAGACGTTGGTGAGGTACTTTATCAAAAGCTTTAGCAAAGTCTATGTAAATCACATCTATGGCATGATTATGAAATAGTGCGTTTGTTAAAATGTCCTGTGCCTCTAGTAGGTTGGTTGTTCAGCCGCTTCGAAATCGATGTTGAGATTTTGTAAAGAGCCCTTTTTCAAGGCAATGTTTCAGGATTCTTTTGTGTATAAAACTTTCCATTATTTTACAGGGTACCGATGTGAGAGAAACTGGTCTGTAGTTCAAGCATTTTCTATGGCTTTCATTTTTAAAAATAGGAGTAACTTTTAGAAGTTTTGGAAGTTATCAAACGTAAAAAGTTTGATAACTTCCAAAAGTTAGGGACTTTGCCTTCAGCCAGGGATTTTTTGAAAATCATAGCTAGTGGCTTAGCTATTGCAGTAGCACAGTGTCGAAGAACACGTGGGTGTATGTTATCGCAGTCTTTTGACTTTGTTTCGATGAACTCTTCTAGCTTTTTCTGAACAGATATAGTTGTTAGTTCTGCTTCATCGAGGACACATTTCGTTTCTGTTCGGTTCTGAAGAGTTGGCATCTAATGTAATGGTTCAACAACAAAACTGACTGAAAATATTCGTTAAGTAAATTTTATGACTATCAGTTGTAAGATTTCTATCAATGTCTTCTAGTGACTTTACCATTTCATTCGCTATTTGCTTCTGCTTGACTTGGTTATGAAGCTGTTTTGGATCAATTTTAAAAGAGTTAGCAATTTCATTTTCATAATTAGCAACTGCTGATCTTACAATCTTAACTAAATCTTTGCAAGCTGCCTTATGCTCTTCTCGAATCTCTATGTGAGTCAATCTACCAGCTGCAAGATATTTGCGCCAAAGGGTTCTTTTCTTTTTAACTGTTTTTTCAACTTCTAGCATATTCCATGGTTGTTTTTGTTGCTTGAACGATGTTTTAGTTGAAGGTATGTAAAGGGTGGCTGCCTTGTTAAATTTTTCAATGAACATCTGATAATTTTCATTTACTGAATGGGAAATGAAAATTATCACCCAGTCATATGATGTGATTAGCGTTGAGATTGCTTCATAATTAGCTTTGCCCCAGATAAAACTTTTTTTTTTTTTTTAACACAAGCGTTGTTTGTAGCAAATGAGCCAATAAGTAGGCAGTGGGCTTCCCTAGCTGGTGTGTAACCAATTGAGTTGCCTTCATGTAGATTATCTATGCGGTCAGGTTCATCAGTGATTAACAAATTTAGTGTGCTTGATGGTCTTTCATTTCTATTTCTGCAGTGAGTTTGAAAAGTGACAATTTGCATAAGAAAGTTTTCGTTTATTGACAAGCTCTGCTTTGCTGAATCAATTGATTTGATGACTTTTTCTAGAACTCCAATATCATTATCGTTTGGTTGGTATATGCAGCCTATTAAGATAGATTCATTGCCTATCGTTATCACTCTCCATAGTTGTTTGATATCTGTTGAGTTAAGTTTATTTACTTTTGTTTCATTTGCTGGAATACCACTTTTTATGTAGATACACCCCCTCCTCTGCTTCCTCGGTTTTATTTATGGAGTTAGTAACCAGGCAGTTGAGTGTCTGATATTTGATCAAACCAGGTCTCAGTGAAGAAAAGCAATTGAGTTTTTTTTTCTACTATCTCATTATCAATTCTTGCAACTAGTTTATCTTTTTTGGCTTCATTTAATGAATGAGGATTATTTGCACAGAAAATAAGTTATTTATGCGGATTGTTATATATTTTTTTTAATTTTGTTTGGTTTCTGATGATTTAGTTGGTTTAAGCGTGGCTGGTTTGATTTACAGGTAACCAACAATGGTCTTGGTCGGCATCGTGGTTACTTAGTGGAAAAGACAATGGTTGTTGAAAAGAGTTAAGGATTGTTTTTATTGACTCTGGTTTCTGCTGTTTTGATTTGATCTGATTGCTCTTTGCGAATCCAAGCACACTTTTTGATTGGACTGTGTCAATGCAGCGCACAGATCCAGTCCGTCTGTGGATGATCCATCGAAAGGGTTCATTCAGACTAGCTTTCATAAGATCTTCATTCTTTTGCTTTTTTTGTTGAATAGTATATTGAAAGCTTCTTGCTCTGCAGCTGTTCGGTCCTCTCGAGTGTATACTCCTCTGAACGCTTCTTCTTTGTGAAACTTGCCTTTTGCTAGGGCGTCTTGTTGTGCCTCTATCGGTTTGAACACAACTTGTGTTACACCAATTGGATCTTGCTGGTTCATATTCTTGAGATTGCTAGGTTGTTTGTTTCTTCTTTTGTAACGACGAACCTGAACCATTTCCTCATGGTTTACTTCAATTGCTTCAAAAAAAACTCTTTTACAAGATCTTCATCGCTTCTATTTTCAGACTCTTTAAGACCAACGACTTCTATATTTGACTCCCTCTCTTTTCTAGTTTATATATATATATATATATATATATATATATATATATATATATATATATATATATATATATATATATATATTAGTGTGTTTCAAAAAAGTTCTTTTCAAAATTTCATCTATGATTGCTTCTCATATGGTGCCCCACCCTTGATATTACTATACAAATATTTTTTATATCACATTTAAACTACTCCATTAGTCCCTGCTATGAGCCTAAAGTTCATTTTTAAACCATTTTTAAGCCATTTTTCAGTCATATTGCTGGGACTCTTCCTGTCAACCTATTTCTAAAGATTAATTTTTTTTAAGTAATTTATGCATAAGAAATAAATTGAAATCCAATGTTAAGCTTAATTTGTTTAAATAATGGGTCAATCAAACAACTACATTTTATGAAGTTTTCTTTGCCTCTCACTCTTTGATAATGTCCAAACAGTCTTTTTCCATATCTCTGGTGTTTAGGGTTGTATTTTAACATTTAAAAAGGCTACAGAATCGTCTCCAAAAATGCATTTGGGTTGTCTATCTTGTCTGTGACTGTATAAGGTCGTCTTTAATAGTTTTAGATTCAATTAGAAACATTTTCAAAATCAGTTTTCTTCTGTCTCTTTCTTCATGAACTTTTTGGCTACAAGGAAAGTGTCCTATCTTTTTTTTCTCTTTTGGGATTTGTTGATCATCTCCTAGTTATGTAATATGTTTGTTGAAAGTAAAAAATAAGTTATGTAATATTTTTGTTGAAAGTTAATTTCCACTTTAGGTTTTACTTTAATAAATTTTATAAAAATTTACAACCTAAACAAGTTTTGCAGTCCTTTCACTGTAATCATTATCTACCGCCAGATTTTTGACAAAAAGTTTAAACTCCAGATAATAATCATTTAGGTTTCATGTCACAGCTGGTGTCTTTTAACACTGCAACTTTGCCTTCCCATGGTTCAAGAGATGAAGTATAAACAAACTCTGTTTAGTTACCAGTGAAACCAAGCTAAGAAGATTATCCTAATGAAAATCCAGGTTGCTCATCTTTTCAATTGTAACCTTCTGCCTGTGTACATTATACACATGAGATCATTTAATCTTTTGTTCCAACTATTTTCTTCGGTTGTCCCAGCTGATCCGATATGAATGCAATATCTCCTTTTATCTTTCCCGATTTACTGTGTAAATATAAGTAGTAAATTAAAAAAAAGTTATAAACAACTCATTTTTTGAGATGATTTTGTAGCGGCTATAAATATTACAATACGACTGTAAACATCTGAGGTATGGAAAAAGTTTAGACCATATTGAAGAGTGAAAAGAAGGAAAAAATTCATATTTCTGAAAGTGTAGTTGTTTGATTGACCCATTATTTAAACAAAGGAAGCTTAACCTTGCATTTCAATATATTTCTTATGCATAAAATTACCTACAAAAACTAAATTTTTCAAAATTGGTTCATGGGAAGGGTCCCTTGCAATTTGACTGAAAAAAAGCTCAAAAATTGAAAGGACAAATAGAGTGGTCTAAATGTAATATAAAAAAATATGAATAGCAATATCTACAGTGGGGCATATGAGAATATCTCCATATGAGAATATCTCCATATGAGAATATCTCCATATGAGAATATCTCCATATGAGAATATCTCCATATGAGAATATCTCCATATGAGAATATCTCCATATGAGAAGTAATGTTAGTTGAAATTTTGCTAAGTCCTTTTTTTGAAACAACCATAAACCTTATACATACTGTTTTCTAATTGTTTTTAAGTATACAAAAAAAACTTTATTTTTATATTTGCTTCAAATTACAGAATTCATACAAGCTTTATATTGTGTTTATGTATTATTATACAATGTATTAAAAATGTTTAGGAGAAGTGCAAATAGCAGGTTTGTTCCTCCAATCAACCAAGATCAAGAAAAGTAAGTTTTAAAAGAAAATTTCTTTTTTAAATTTTAGTTCGACAGTTGTTGGTTTTTATATAAATATTTATCAGATAAAAAATTCAAATAAACTTATTATAATATTATTATTTTGAATTATCTGATAATTATTTATAAAAATAAAAAATAAAAATATCGATTTCAAATAATGAAATAATCTTAAGAAATAAAAGGAAAAAAAAAAAATTCAAAAAGTGCACAAATTATTTTCTATTATAAGAACAAAAAATTTTATCAAACAAATAAACATAAGTAATTATATACAAATGCTACATAATGTATAATGTTATAATATTCAATATTCAAATAATTTTTAGCTGTTTTTAAATTTATAAATAGGAACATTTAAGAATCTAGCTTACGATAGATAATATCAATATACTAAACATATAAAATAAGCATTTTATTGTTGGTTTAGAAACAATTATAGTTCAACCAAGGAAACACATTTAGATCCAAAATATGAGATGTGTGACTGGTTAAAGAACATTGATCCAAAGATAATTGAACTCATAGAAAATGAGGTAAAAAAATTGTAGATTTTATGTTAAAATGAAATTTTGGGTAAATGTAGTTTTAGCAAAGAACAGAGGGTTTAATAAATGAGAACGAAGGAGGTTGTAAATGAGAACTGAAGAGGTTATAAATGCAAACTGAGAAGGTTATATATATATTTATATTGAAGGAGGTTTTTACTGCAACTGGAAAAAAACTGTTGGAGTAAATGAGAATGAAGTAATAAACAAAAAATTTTTTTTTTTTTTGATAGATCATGGATCATGGTCAAGAAGTTCATTGGGAAGATATTGCTGGTCTTGAGTTTGCAAAAGCAACTATTCAAGAAATTGTTATATGGCCGATGCTTAGGCCGTAAAGTATTTTATCATTCTTCATTGGTTCATTATTTTAAAATAGGAGCACTAAGACATGTACCAGAAAAAATCTGCGGAGACATTTTAAACGATATTTAACTATTTTATTTCGATATTGAATGTTATATATATGATATTGAATATTATATATATTTTGATATTGAATGTTATATATATTTTGATATTGAATGTTATATATATTTTGAAAGTGCATATATTAATATTCTTAAATTTCATTTAAGAAAGTTGGTAAAGTTTTGTACATGAGAATGCTCTTTGTGTTTTACATTCGACATCACTTTTGCACAGTCTTTGGCTGGACTTTCTTGGTAGCTCTAATCCATTTATTTTTGAAGTCTTTAATGTTTTTGGCTTCTTTTACATTGAACCTTAGTTTTCTTTTGACAAGAGCCCAATATCTTTTGATAGGACGTAGTTCAGGACAATTTGGTGGATTGCAGTGTTTTTCAATGAGATCTACTTTATGTTCTCTAACCTAGTTTAAAGTTGTCCCAGAGTAGTGACATGATGCTAAATCAGGTTAAAATAACGGGTTATCTGTGTGTGTTCTTAAAAATGGCAAAAGACGTTTCTTGAGGCATTCTTTTATGTATATTTTGGTGTTAATTGTTCCTGTAATCACAAAACAAGAGCTTCCTTCACCACATTCACAAATTGCTTGTCAAACTAAGAATTATTTAGCAAATTTTTGCGTTCCAATGCATTTATAATTGGAATTCAGTTTCTTGCGATTAATTGCTGAATAGTATTGGTGTCCTGGAAGTGATCGGAAATATGCAGCACAATAAGTTTCATCGTCATTAATCAAACATGATTTTTTGGCACGTAATTTTTTGGCACGTAATAGAACATCTTTGAACAACAAATTGCAACATTTTCTAGTTTTTCTTCACGACAAGGAACTTTTTTCTTTTTATAAGATTTATAGCCACAATTTCTCTTTACTCTTTGTATAGTGGAAGCATTTGTCTTAAATTTATTTGCTAAAGTTTGAACAGAAATCTCTGGTTATCTGTCTGAGGCATCTTTCATTTCTTTACCAAGATCTCGTTTAACAAAACAATTTTTTCTTCCACTTCCTAATTTCCTTTTGATTGTACCAGTGTCCTTAAATCATTTCACAATGCTTTGCACTGTTCTCAAAGCAATCTGCAACTCTTTAAAAATTATTTTTTTTTTGGTACATTAAGATTTTCAATAAGAAAATGCAAAATTCTTATCTTGATTTGATAACATTTCATTTAAAACTAATTGTTTTGATAACAGAGTTGTTTAAATTTTGAATAACACTAATACAATGACATTTTAAAACAATTAGCTATTTAAAATGATGCACGGTTTCTGTAAACACCACATCAAAACACGCGCCGATTTTTTCTGATACATGTCTTAAGTTCACAGTTGTACAATGAGAGATTTGAATTTTAGAGATATTTTTACTGGTTTGCGAGGACCACCAAAAGGTTTGTTGTTGTTTGGTCCTCCTGGAACTGGCAAAACTTTAATAGGTATTTGAAAACTTATTTTTCAAATTATGATTATGTTAAAATTAAATTATGTTATGTTTTAATTCTATTTTTTTTATGTCTAACTCTTATTTCTTTTTTAGTTTTTATTTTTATTGATAGTTACTTTCTTTATGTATTTTATTTGATCGAAATAAATTTGGTTTTTAAATAATTAGTGAAATCTAATTACGTTATATATTGCAAAATTGTTTTTACAAAACATGAAATAATGTAATCTAAGTTTTCAGAGAAAAGCAAATGAAAAACGAACGAACCTAAATATGGTAAGAATAAACCTAAATATGGTAAGAATGAACTTAAATATGGTAAGAATCAACCTGAATGTGGTAAAAATGAGCATAAATATGGCAAAAATGACCCTTATTTAGTAAGAATGAACCTAAATATGGTAAAAATGAACATAAATATGGTAAGAATGAACCTAAATAAGGTATAAATAAACCTAATTATGATAAAAATAAACCTAAATAAGGTATGAACGAATTTAAATATGATAAGAATGAATGTAAAAATGGTAAAAATGAACCTAAATATGGTAACAATAAAATAAAATATGATAAGCCTAACTATGGTGATAAATCTAAATGTGGTAAGAATCAACCTAAATATGATAAAAATAAACCTAAATAAGGTATGAATGAACCTAGATATGATAAAAATGAACCTAAATATGGTAAAAATGAACCAAGTGTCTATTCTAATAAAAATTATTATAGTTTCTTCTATATTATTTATTTTTTTATTCTTTATTCTTTTATATTTTTAATAATTGAATTCTTGTTTATTTACTGTTGTAAATTTTCAGGAAAATGCATAGCCAGTCAATCTAATGCAACATTTTTCAGTATTAGTGCATCTTCCCTAACTTCAAAGTGGGTGAGGCCATAACTTTTATCACTAGATTACTTTTTATCCCATATTACTCACATAAGGTAATAAAATTTTTTTAAAGGTTGGTGAAGGAGAAAAAATGGTTCGTGCTTTGTTCGGCGTTGCTCGTGTTCACCAACCAGCTGTTATATTTATTGATGAAATAGATTCCTTACTTACTCGTCGTTCTGATGGTGAGCATGAATCATCAAGGCGTATTAAAACAGAGTTTCTTGTTCAGTTAGACGGAACAACATGCTCAAACAATGATCGAATACTTGTTGTAGGTGCTACTAACAGGTTTGCCTATATTATTAACAAGAATAAATATTCAATCTACTAATATGAGATATTTTCAAGAAAGTACTACTAATGCCTTGCAAAAAAAATTTGTTTTATTTTCATTTTTTTAATTTTTCATGTCTTATTTAATTATTATTAGTAATATTTTTTCTCGTATTATTAAATTTTTTTATTTTTTTATTTTTTATTCTCGGCAACATTTTAGACCCCAAGAGTTAGACGAAGCTGCTCGGCGGCGACTTGTAAAACGTTTATATATTCCTCTCCCAGAAGGCTGTGCAAGACAACAAATTGTAGAGAATCTTATGAATAATCATGCTCATCAGCTTACATCTTCGGATTATGATTTAATTCGTGAAAAAACAAATGGTATTTTTTCATTTACCGTGTATGAAATTTTTGTTTGATTTTTGTTTATACAGATAAATATTAAAACTGTAAAGTAATAAAACCTAACAAAGAGTATAAAGATAGTAATTAAAA